GACGTAATTCCTATGTCTATTCCTTTCCGCATCGACCGTCTCTTGGACGTAGTATCTACGGCCGTCGTGTTATCGGCGGGCTAGGTGAATGCCGGGGGAAGTTTTGGCCCACACTATTAGAGAAGAGAAGCTATTATATATTGACCGACGTAAATGTCTCCTGAGCTGAAGAAATGACAGGAATTTTGAATGTTGGGTCATAAGTGTTCAAATACTTATTTTTTCTTCCCTTCTTTGACAGAGGAAACATAAGGACTTCTGACAGTCACTGGAAGCTATATGTATCGGTATCGGCTAATCTCAGCTAATCCTGGATCGGTGCATCCATATTGAATAGGATACCCTCCGGACGGTTTGTCCCCGAATTCCCCACATTTCAAACATTCAACAATTAAAATCAAACGAGCGCTAATTCCAATTTCCCTCCCTTTTTGCTCCAAGAATAGAGAAAAGAGAAAAATTAGACCTATTTTCTCCCCGATCTTCGCAAGTAAAAAAAGAGACGAACAACGAGGAAAACAAGAGAACTCCCTCATTAAGATTGTAATTGGCCCCGTTTTATAAAACATGCAGCAGGAGCAAAGAAGCGAAGAAAAACTAAGGAGCAAGACTCCGATAATTGCGGACACATGTTGGTTTCTCATGGCTTCGCCCCTTTTAACGACCTCATCAGAGAATCGAAAGGAATGCATTTTGCACCGTCCAAGGATGCCATTTTGCGACTCTGCGCTTGCGAAATCGATAGCCGTGCCCCGAAAGGAACGAGCTACGAAATAATTTATCGGTCATCGATGTTCATCATTTAGAGGCTGGGCACCCTTTTAAACGAAAACGAGCGAATGCACACCCTTTTACCTTGCTCAATCTTTTCATTTTTATTCACTTTTTTTTTTACTTCGAAGGCCATGACGATCATAAAGGCGGAAAAGACACGAGCAACCCCGGTTGTCTCCCGGCAGCAAATTATTCTCTCTTAATTGAAATAAATACATTCACAGGCATAAACAGAATGAAAGGGAAATCTGCTCAAGAGGAAAATGAAATAACTCCCTTTCAGGATTAACATTAATGTACTTGAATAAATGTGTAATTCCTCGACTCGGAAAAATCGTTTCCTGCTCCATTTAGAGCACGTATTTATTTCATGTACCATTGATCACCACATTGCACCTCACTATCAGGTACTCTTGAGATTCATGATTAATTGCTAAGCCCGCAATTTCAAAAATTTCGTTTTAATTATTTAGTAGAACCAGGAAAAGTTCGGAGAGCCAAAAAAAAAAAACGAGCTCACCCGGAAACGTTCTAATTAATTCATAATCGCTCCGACCCTGAATCGGCCGGATTGTGGACAAAGTGAGAAATTGAATTGACTAACGAGAAGGCGTTCGATGGGCCGATCCGGAAGTCCGGAACGAGGGATCAAGGATGGGAAATCATTTCCGAAGGATTTCCTTCGGAAATGATTTCTTGTTGTTGACAGAATCCCGAGCGATTGCAGGTCATCATAGGCACAACTGGCGTCGTCCTGAAAGACCTCAAGGGACATGTCAGGACGCTGGAGTGTGAAATGTCGTTGGATATCCTCCAGCGCACAGCAATCTTGGGCAGGGCCAGCATCCTTCGCCGTGTCCTTCGGAATTAGGCGAGTATGAGGTCTGGGATGTGGTTCATTCCCCTCCTCATATCTCCAATAGCGGCAGGTGCCGTGGAAGGATTTATTTTATTTATATATTGTAAAAACTAGATTGCATGGCCCGTGAATGGTTAAAATCACGTTGTTTCCATGGCAAAATGATTCCAAGAAAATAAATCTTTTGGTGACTCGGGGAAGAAGCATCGTTTTTCTTTCGAGAATTTCCTGTGATCGAGAGCGGTTTTTCCCTGCAACCAACCGGTTTTGTGAAGGTGTTTGCACACTCGGCAGCCGAGATTTTTTTCGAAACGCACGACGTAGTCGGATTTCCACGCGAAGTACTCCCGATAGGCGGTCTCGTTCCCGTCGAGGTACTTCAAGTACTCGGCCAGACTCTGGACGGAGGGGAAGTCCATGACGTTTATGAAGGATTTGGGCGGGGCTAGAGAGGAATAATTTGCGCCGCCGAGGACCACGGGGATCCACGGGAAGAGAAGAGCGGTGAAGAATTTTTCGGTCGCGTAGTCCCTGCAGATGGAGTTCTCGAAGGCCATGAAGAATTTATACTTGCCGGACAGTTCCCTGTATCCCTCGGTGGAAGACCCGGGTAGTTTTCGGTCGCCGCATCTCCCGTAGACGTGAATCACTAAGTCGTGCGTCTTGAGGTCTCGAATGAGTTCCTCCCGTTTGCTGGCTGCGTTGCAGTTGCTGATGAGGGCGGCTCCGAGGTCTCTTCCCGAAGGCGATTGCGTCGGTTGGGGCTCGTGAGCGAGGGATACGTATCCGTATTCCAGGGTCACGTCCGCGTCGGATTCGTAGGTGATGACCCAGTCGATGGGCAGGTCGAGGTCGGCTCTGAGCACGGGGGATTCCTGCGTGAGGATGGCCCAGATTTGGCCGTTCCTTTTCAGAGGGAGAAGGGAAGACGGGGATCGGTCCCATCCCATCCAGGAAAACAGGACGAGGTCGGCTTCGTTCAAGGCAGACGCATCACCGAAGTGAACATCACAGTGGTATGTCGCGTTCCAAGGTGCGCCGGAGCAGGACATGTTCTCGTGGAATTCGTACCATAGGCTCCAGTGGTCGTAGGAGCCCTGGAGTTTGTCGTACATGAGGATCGTCTTCTTAGTCTCTGTCGTTCTCATCACGGGTACGGGGACGGGGACGGGGACGGAATTCTTCGCGCTCCTGGGCGCCTCGAAGACGAAAAAACACAGAGACACCCACAATAAAATTCCGAAGAAGGCGGCGATCTCCCTGACCGCGAAGTGCTTGCAGAGTTTCCAAGTTTTGATCCGCTTGATGAAAGGAACTCCCGAGGGAACATCCACTCCCGAGGAAACTTCCATTCGACCGCTTCTTGGGGGGCTCGCACGACGGGAGTGAATGAAGACGGAGAGCCTCGCCTCGGTGCGCCAGCTGTGCTACACACCGCTGGACTCGAAGGGAGTCGAATCCGATCGACGGCGCGTTGGGTCGCAAGGGCGGCCCTCAGTGCCGCTCGAACCCGGAATAATTTCCCAGTTTGTTTTCATCGAGGAATGCTTTCATGTGTGCTATGGCTTCTTCGAAACTGCGTGCGAAACAGAAGTGCACTTTGGGTCTCTAGCGAGCGGATCCGACTGTATTGTGTGCCAAGAATCTTGCATATGCATGAGGCATACAAAAGGCGTCGATCGATGAAACACCGAACACCTACTTCCTCTTTGCACAAGCGCTACGTCAAACTACGAAGTTGTGCGAAAAGTTCTCTGTATCGGTCAAGAAATCCTGAAAAAAAATAGAAACTTATTTCACGATCGTTTGATTCCTGATCAAAACAAGGGTTGTAAAATTACCAGTAAGGAAGAGGGCATTACAGGTAATTCACAATAAATTCATTGGCAATCACTGGTATTTTACCAGTGTATTACCACCAGGCTACCGGAGCTCCAAGAGTGCCATAAATAATTAAGGGAAGTATTAACAACCAAAAAAAAGCCAATTCTGGAAAATTCGCAAAAAGTATAGGACAAATTGAGGATGCTTTTATTTATCTTGAGACCAAGAGATGTTGACATGAAAGAAAACTTTGTAAACAACAGATTCAACATTCCACTTTAGATCGAAGATGAAACGATGTCAAGCTGTTAACCGTGGATCCCTGGAGCCTGGGACAACATACAGGGATTGCGGAACTCGGTTTTCAAACTCACTCAACAGTGACTTCATCATCACTTCCATGCGAGACCTTCAGACTCCGAGGCGCTCCCAGAATTTAGGACGGCAGAAGAAGCAGAACTTCGTCGGGGCGAAGAACGCAGACGACGGCCATCGCGAGCGGAGCGACGCCGCGAAGCCCGAACAAATTCGCGCTACGTCGAGGCGGACGGATCGAACGCAACGACTGTTCTCCGCGCGCTCCGCGAAGATCTCCGCTTGTTTCTCGTTCAGACTGTGCAGTTGTTGCACGCGCACAGGCTGTTGTTCCAGCTGAACAGCTGGAACAAATAATTATAAACAAATAATTATTGGTTCAGCACAGGCTGAACCAATTATTATTTTTAAAAATAAACTCACCTCGGGTAAGTCTAAGACTGAACTTGTTCCAGGCTAGGTCGACTTGAAGCTATCCGATGCAAGAAGCACCATGAGCACACTGTTGCAGTAAATCGGCCGTCGTTTGCGAGTTACGTGGAACGTAACGTAGGCACGTTATCATCCTTAAAATGATCGACAGGCACGGTTCCGAATGAATTATGTGCGGGCAGGTTCCTGCCCGGCATGCATTCCTGAGGGGAATTACACTCGACCTTCCGATCATCGATCCCATTTCCGTCACTATTGAGGCGCAGTTCCACAAGGCCCGAAAAAAAAACGAAAGACCGGGAAAAAAAGGACTGGTGGAGGAGACACGAGAGATAGGACGAAGGCGCAACGATGCGCTGCATTTCGCGCACTGCTTGTACTTCGATGCGGTTTGTGCCAATTGAAAGAGGAATGAATGAGCTTTAAAATGAAGTGTTTGAAGGATGGCCGTCGCCTGTTCGTCCCTGTCCTGTCCTGTGGCAACGCTATTTTTGCTTGGTGTTCATATGAACTCCCGAATTTCTGGAAATGTCCAAGAGATTTTGAATGTAAATAGACCATTGTAAAGCCCACTCCCCTTTCAAATGCCGCAAATCGCATTAGAATATTATTATTATTAGTGCTATTAGTGCAGTATAGTGTAGCGACGAAAACAGTCCGCTTTTTTTTCGGCCCACCCTGTATTGCGGATTCGCGCAAATCGGTGAGACTATAACGACGCCTCCTAAAGTCGTGCCTTTCAAGCCATGCTTTGCCTTTTTTCGAGGGAATCCAAAATCCTTCACTGCGGTCTAATATGCCGGTCTAATATGCGATCTACGGGCGAAAATCTAGTCTAAGACGCGATCTACGGTACCGGTAGACACAGCTCCGCCTTTCACTGCCGATGCTCATACTGGTAAATGTCCTACAAGGACTCCAAGTGCTACATAGTGGCGTTTACCACGAAAGCGAAAATTTAATAAATTTGTTTTTTTTTTTAATTTATCTCGAAATTTTACGGAATATTTTCTCGATATTTGAGCCCAGTGGCTCAGTTGGCAAAGGTTGTCAACCTTCTCTTGGATTTGCTTGGTTCGAATCCCGTTGAGACCGGAAATTTAAATGAAAAAAAATGAAATTGAAGGTTGGAAGGAATGGAATGGAAATGAGAGTGGCGAACTGTAGGTTGAGCCTGAGCAGCCCAGCCAGAGCCGCCCAGAGGTTTAGTGGAGCCCGAGACAAAACTAAACCTCCCTTGGGGGCCCTCTTGAGGCCCTTTGGAGGCCCCACTTGGGACCCCTTGATACAAGGGGCCCGGGGCAGATTGCCCCAACTGCCCCCCCCCCCCCTCTGGGCAGTCCTGGGTGAACCCACCGAGTTCTCAAGGTCTCTCACTCGAAGGGCGAACCTCGTGTTCCTGGTCACCTGCCGTCTGTCGGATTCCAAGCTTCCCCTCGTGCCGTCTCTTTCGTCCTTTCATCCTAGCCGCTCGGCAGCGATTCAGAGCGATCGTTAGTTTACCGTCTATTTTTAGGGGAATATTTTTTCCTTTTCCTCGTTCGGGACGAATCCGTCCGAGACCACACGGTTCGGGACGACTACTACCGCGACCACACGTTTCGGGACCGAAACGTCCCGGTCCGCGACGCGAGGAACCAAATCGTCCGAGTATCGCGCATTCCGTATTCCACATTCTGGCTTCCGCACCGACCGAAGTATATAAGTAGAAAAGAGCGCGATGAAATCACGGTCGAGTCCTGCAACAATTCCATGAATACGGGGCTGGCCTTTCAGATACACTAATATCGTACTGGATCGAGAAGAAAAGGTTTTTCCTTCTCGATCGGTCGGCAGAGAATCAGACTCGAGAACGTGAACCTCGGCTTCCCTCTCGAAGGAACGTCACGATACCGTACTTCGAAGCAAAATACAAAATAGGCCTTGCGGCGGATCGCATTCGATAGAGATTGAAAATCGGCGAAACTCCGAATCGCCTCTGTAAATCACCCTTTTGGGCCTCGTCTAAAGACCTCGTCTAAAGGCCTCGACCGAAGAATTAATCTCCTGTCAGATCCTGTGCCGCGATCTATTACGCGCGACCCTGCATCTGGCGCACTTTCTTTACCTCGGGGTCGTGCTCTGATAGCGCCTCGCTCTCGTCTCTTCCTTCCTCTCTCGCACAAAGTCGTCTTTGAAATCTCCCGTTTCGAGAAGGCCCACCCCGGGCCCACCGCTCGACACGAATCGCGGCATCTTCTCCGAACGGCCTTCGCGAGAGGCACGAAGCGGGGGAAATGTTGGCATCCGCCGGTTACACGAGCGGACCTCTTTCCTTCTCCCTCGTCACCCTCTTATAGAGTGGGGCAACGGGACCGCGAGGAGTTAAAAATACGGGAAGAGGATGCAAACGAGTATAAGGTGGTGCGGGACCTGCCAGGATGGCTTCGGCCCAGCATCCGTCCTCATTATTTCTCTGGAATCGGGAGGCGTCCTCCACCTCTTCTCCTCGTCCCAACCGCCTCTTCTCTCCGTCTCTCACCGTCTCTCTCTCTCTCTCTCGCGGTGCACACACGCGAAGTTTCGAGCGCTTCTTCATTCGAGTGATCGGACAGGAAAAAGCTCCGTGGTTTCCGCCCTTTCGCCATGGTGAGCCCATTCGAGCCATTCCGTCGCTTTCGAAACAACGTCTGGCTTCGTTTGTAAACAGAATCCTTCACGAGCTAATAAACGCTCGATTCGCGAAGAAAAGCCTTTTACGTGGAAATCGGAGCCAGACCGACCGCGCGTCCTCGCATTCCACCCGCACATTACGGAATTCTTGTTCCCTCCGCAGGCCGCGCTGGACGACGAGCAGATCAACAGTGAGTTGTTCGATCCCGTCCCTCGGACGCCTCGTTGCCCCCCCTCCCCTCCGCCACCTTCCCCACCTTCCCCCGTCTCTGTGCAGCCCTCCGGAAGACCTTCCAGATGTTCGACTCCGGGAAGACCGGCCTCATCGACTGCGAAAAGGTCCGGACGATCCTGAACACCATGGGCCAGCAGTACGACGCGGACGCCCTCGAGGCCATGCTGGAGACGCACAACATCGACGGTAGGCGGAACGGAGGCTTCCCGAGCTTAAAAAACCAAACATTTCGAGGCCCACGCAACATTTCACCTTTCATCCCACTTTCATTCGTTTATTTCGTTATTTTTATTTTGTTATTTATTTTATATTTTATTTTGTTTTTAATTTTTTTAAATATTTTGTTATTTATTAATTTATTTCATATATTATAATTGATTTGCGTGGAAAAGGGGCAAGCGTAGAGACTCTGGCAATAAGCAACGGCCTTGGGACAAAAGCGAGCGTGGAATCCATAACAGAACCTAATGCTTTTCTTCCCGTCGAGCGCAGAGCCGTTTTTCTAGCAAAGAATGCCATAATGACGTCACAACCGTGTCCGGACAGGGTCGGGAAAGATCAACTTTGACGGATTCTGCGAGGTCGTGGGTCACTTCTTAGAGGAAGAAGACAGTGAAGCCATGCAACAGGAGTTGAAGGAAGCCTTTCGTCTCTACGACAAGGAAGGTCCGTTTATTAATATTAGAGGATTTTTATTTTAAACTCCGGTCGTTTCCACGTTCCTCTTCGGCCGATGGCGATGGCCGATTTCGAAACGGCAGTTCGGTTCTCGTTTCGGTTCGCACTTTGGTTCCACCGTGCTCTTGTCGGTTCCTATCGCAAAAAATCTCGAGTCGAAACGGAACTGCGACCGGAATGCAGTTTTGAAACGAGACGATGCTTGGCAGAGTCGTCGGAGCGAGAAAGAATTCCGAAAAGAGAACGAGGCCCGGATCTTCCCGACTCGTCTCGGCCGTTTCGTTTTCTTCATCGGGTACCGACTTTCACGCTTTTCTCTTTTACTCCACGAAACGAACGAACCTTCGGAAACGCATCTCCGACCCTCGACGTTTCTTCGCCACGTTTTCCGGGAAGATCGGGGGTCCGAGAAGCGATCCTCCCGCCCCATCGACGAGACGGGGAAAGAAAGAACTTCCAACGTTTCTCGCCGTTCGAACCGAAGCCAGAATTCCATCCCCTATTTCTAGTGGCCCGCTACATTCCAGAACGCCGTAGACGTGGAACGCTCTCGCGCGTAATCGGCATTCAACCGGGCTCGAGTTTCCTCCCCCCCAATCCCTCCCCTATTCCCCCCCCTCTCCCTACAGCCTTCCTGGCGATTCCACTCGAACGCAGTCACTCGTTTCGTTCGGCACGGTGTCGAGGTAACGTCTCTCCGCGGGGTCCAACCATTCTACATCCCGGCCTCTCCAACTCCACAGCCTGTCTCTTTCGCTTCCGCTAGTTATGTAGGAATCCGCCTACAATAGCCTCACCGCACGTTCGACACGCAGATAGCTCGGTACTCCATGAGAAAGCGTAACGTTGGTACCTTTTAAACGTAGGCGTCATAATAATCCTCGTCTCGAGGGACGAGGGAACGAGGGACGAGGGAACGAGGGAACGAGGGAACGAGGGAACGAGGGATCGAGAGAACGAGGGATCGAGGGACTGATCCGATTCACCTCGTACCAAACCCATATGCGGCTCGGGATAGGATTGAAAAATGTGGAGTTGCACGAGTTCATCTCCAGATCACTTTTCCTTGCTCGTTTTCCCGTATCCTCAACCGGAGTTAATCGCATTATAGCGCATTCGCTCGACTCTAGAGTCGAAAAATAGAAGGACGAGGGAAGAATCGAGCGGTAAAGCGGCAAGCCAGGTGAAGCGAGGTGAAGACAGGTGAAGCAAGGCGAAGACAGGTGAAGCAAGGCGAAGCCAGGTGAAGCAAGGTGAAGCCAGGTGAAGCCAGGTGAAGCGAGGTTCCTTCCGGATCGGTCCATTCGTCCCCATTTGGGGCATCCGAAGGCGCATAGAACCGCCCGTTATGGTCATTTGGATTTACTTCAAATTCATTGCATATCCATTCACGTATACAAAAACAGGAAATTCCGATCGTCGACTCCCGCCATTGCCAAGGTCGTCTCAACAGCGCTGTGAGACGAATTTCATGGACGATGGTCGATGGTCGATGAAATTCGTCTTACACCTCTCATCTCCCAGCCACCTCGTTAGTGAGTAGCCGGCCGGATTTATCGACCCCATGTTTTAGTGAAAATACTAAAAACACGAAATTTAGAATTATTTACATCGAACGGGGCTTGCTAGAAGTTCCTCGAGCTACGGTTTGCAACGACATCGGTATCTCCTCGTCCTCAGACAGGTGAAAGGAACTGCATGGAATGCTCACTTTCGCTGTCGGGTCTCGATCTAGACACGATTGTAGGAAATGAACTGACCCGATTTTGATCCTCAACAGGCCTCTGGATCGTTTTCGGGGTCCACCCCACCGATTCCCGAAGCTAAAATCCAAGGAGGGAAATTGCTAAAGTTTAGGCTGGAGATTTTCTGGTCATGCTGAACAGTCTCACGCTTACAGGCACGGTTGACAAAACTGGCCAGCCGAGACGATGCAGCACGATGCCCGGCATTTATATATTTTTTGTTCTCCCCTGTAAATGCTTAAAATTTGTAACGCCCCTACGTGCAATTTTTTTTCTTCAAGACTAATGGGTTAATTACATTGTCAGCTCCACTAATAGGACGGTAAGTTTGAAATGGACCGAATCCTCTCGCACCACATAGATGAATCGAGTCCAATACAACCGATTTCGTCCGATAAAATGCACTAATTTAAACCACGGAAAGAAATAGAAGGATGCGTTGACCCCCGACAGGCAACGGGTACATCCCGACGTCGTGTCTCCGCGAGATCCTGGCAGCCCTCGACGACAAGCTCACCAGCGAGCAGCTGGACGAGATGATCGACGAGATCGACACGGACGGCTCCGGCACCGTCGACTTCGAAGGTCTCTCCATCCTCCTCCTTTTCCTCCTTTCGGTCCTCGCAGGAAGACGCTCGCGAATGTCTCGTCTCTTCCGCAGAATTCATGGAGATGATGACGGGAGAGTAAAAGCAAAACGGACGTCTCTTTCCATTTTCGTTTTGAACGCGACACGCAGAAGGCCTTCCTACCTCCTCCTCCTCCACGGATTCCACGATAGCACGGATCGCTAGGGCCATTCGCCTCTCCCGTTTCCACGAGCCAGGAGCTTCTCCTCATCATCATCAGTAGCTTCCACCCCCTCCCTCTCCCCCCCCTCCTTTATTGTTCATCATAGGCTCCAAGTAAATGTCACAGGCTTTTCCATCTGTGTAACATTTAGACCGATGAGAAAAGCGATTCGAGAACGAGGAATAAAAGAAAAAATTTTCCTACGCGTCCCCTATTTCATTTTGTTGTTATAACATTTCGCTGGAGGGAACAAAGAATGAAGTTCGATGGATGAAAAAGCTTTGCGGATCTCTAGAAGCGATCCGATTCGTAAAGTTTCCCAGGTGATCGGGAGAAGCGTGGGACTCTGTCTGCCCTTGTACGTGTTGGTAAGGAAAGAAGCAGGGTTTGAAGAGATGTTCGCGTGCACCGGGTTCGCTTACCCGAATGGATGTACGCAATACTGGACGAAGCGTTTTCGAGCCAAGAATTTCATCTGGCATTACGGAAGAGGAAGCATTTAGCAAGGAACATATTTCCAGGTGAGGACTCTGAACTCGGGACCCCCCGACGACGACACCCTCACCACAGACGACGACGACACCCTCACCACAGACGACGACGACACCCTCACCACAGACGACGACGACACCCTCACCACAGACGACGACGACGGTCGCGATGGCGATCCGCGAGACTCGATGCCAAAGAATCGACCGGACTCGGACTCGGCCGCATCAGTTGGCGAAGGGATTTCAGGTTTAGGACGCAGCTCGAGCCACACGGATGCCTGTGACATCCACAGCCACCCGAGCCACACGGATGCCTGTGACATCCACAGCCATCCGAGCGTTGGGGATCCACCGAGCACCCCGAAAACGAACAAGTGACGACCTTCAGGAAAGGCTTCGTAAATGTATTTTTGTTGGAGTGAGGCTTTCGCATTGGGTTTCACAGGGACTCGGAAATCTCTCCCGTTCTCGCCCGCAAAACCGAACGACAAGAATTCGAGCGAGAAGGCGGAGATCTTTCTTGGCATGGGTGAAATGCGCTGCGAAATCTCCACCCCTTCCCGATGGGACGAAGATAAATTTGGCAGGTCAAAATTTTGGCAGGCTCTGGGCGAAGAGTTCATCGGCGAACCCTGATAAATTGCATGACCCTGTCGAATTCCTCGGCTACGGAGGAGATAGAAAATTTCCCACGTCCGTCTGGGAAGATCCCGTCGTGAGTCGAGGGCCGGAATTGCGTGAAACTGAGAGACTCGTTCTCCTGATCTCTCCCCCAACGACCCGCCATTTTCCATCTATTCGAGACTCCGTTCCCTCCGTCTTCGGCCTCGTCCATCGCTCCCCCCCCCCCTCATCTCGAGGCACTCTTCCCGTTCAAGGACGCGACCAGATGGAAAGGAAACGCGCGCAAGACCAGGAACGGAAAGGAGTCGAGAACGAGAGAAAGAGGTGAGCGACGACGGGGGGGAATTACTCCATCCTTTGCGATCCGGGACACTTCCGAGAGAAAAACAGGAACTGCCTGCATCGTGATCGATCCTCGTCCACGCTGAATCCATCCCAACATGCTCCCGACATTCATCTTCCCTTCGTGTGAGTTTTTCTCTCATTTTTTCACGAGCGATGTCGAATTACCGTTTTTTCTGACAAAACTTCGTGCCATGCGATGGACTATTTTTCACTCCGCGAGTGCTTAAAAGCTTCGAGCGACGATCGCAGGCGGCTTCAACGAGGCCAGCCGGTCTCGGAGAAAAGACGTAAAAAAAAAGGCGATGGAAGCGAGAATTGCTCTCGGCCGATGAGATGGACTGGACCGAGGATGCCAAGTCTTCCTCCAAGAGTGGGTTTGCTTTCCGGAATGGCAAGCCAGTGTGCTAATTTTATGGACCCTCGGAACAGCACGGCTACTATCGCTTGTTTTTCCGATTGGCTTTCGCTCCCCCTCGTGATTCTACGAATGAGTCTACGAATCGCAGCACCACCAGCGTTCGTGGGATGACGATCGAAAGAGCGAAGAGGGAATGTGAGAGCTTTCGGAGTCCTTCCACTCCGTCCGGTTTTACTCCTTTTCTCCTGTAGAAGGCTCGAGAACGAACTGCGGTCAGCACGAGTCAGAAAGCCCCTCGCCACCTCGCTTCGACGCGTCTCGAATCTCCCAGCCGAACGGGTCCGCTTCGGTTAACCCATCGGCACGACCTGCTTCGGACCCGTGGGACCCGTGACCCGTCGGCCCGCGACCTCGTGATTCTCTGGAGGGTAGGGCGAAAAAGGGGACGCTGAGCGAAATAGCCGAACGTGAGTTCCGAGGAACTCGTGCTGCACCTTATCGACGACTAGGACTCGACATCGGACGTCTCCATTTTGTCCCACCCGCGGGACTCGGGAACCCATTTCGAGCAAAATGGGATTTCCCGTCAAATATTATTTTACCGAAGATTAAGATTTTGTTCCTTATAGACGTCCACTTACAAAGGCGACAACACGTGCGGCGAGTGGTATTCAGCAGTAGTGGATCGTAGATGGACACTACTGCTGAAGATCACTCGCCGCAATCTGTCGAGAAAGAAACAAGTACTCGTTGGCGTCGTTCGCGATGCTTGCACGACCGTGGGACCCGAGCAACTTTTCTCGCTCGAGTCTCATAGCAATCTCTTCTCAGCCCATTTCCATCTCGAGGAACTATTCTAACTGCCTATATGTCACCTGGCATATTTTCGTGCGACAAAGTTTAGGTTCTGTTTTCCGACACTGTTAACAGAGAGGATTCAGAGCTTAACCTTGGTGAAGGATACACCGTAAAAAGCGGTTAGACGACCGTGAATCATCATTTAAAAGGGTTAATTGGATGCTTATCTTAAATGAGATGAATTCTTTACCTCCTTTTCGATCGAGAGGGTTAAACATTTAACTAGGAGAGTTTTATGGATCTCGTGCGAGGATAAATGAATATCCATGAGAACAGGTATAAATAAATATTTATCCCTTCTGGTGTTAAATAAATGAAACACTGAAAGGGGAAATGGCTGCTCGAGCAAAAATAAATAATTTCTCCAGCTCAATAGTTAATATTTAAGTGATCCTCTTTTTTAAAAGCGAGGGAAAGTAGTGCATACACCAGGTGAGCCACACGCATCAGGTCGTTGGACTGTCGTTCATCTGATGTGTGCACATGCTCTAAACGACATGGGACTCATGACTCACCCTGAAGATGAGACGGATTCTCACTTTCGTAAAACCCTCAGACGACCATCTTCAGCGAATGAAAAAAGGGTCCCTGAATGCAAGACCAATTGTCGACTATCTCAGAAAATTTTTCAAATAGACCATCAGAAAATGAATAAATATCTCCTTTTTTGAGGCTGCATTTTTACCCCCAAAGAGATAGTTCTTATAAGAATCGGACGTTGCCGACCAGAGTTCAGGTTTTAACCTTTTTCACGGTTAAACAGAAGAAAAGGTATAGTGAAACACCATTTGCGAAGGTTATTTGTGCAATGTAAAGTTCCCTTTTAGACCACTAGATGGTGTTATGGTGCTACCGTTTCCCACAGTACAGAGAATAGCCCTTCCCTCTTTCCCGGGGAATCTCCCTCACGGGTATGTCATGTCACCTCGTCCAGGGTTTCGTCTTGCCTCATTATAGGTAGTAATAAAGGCGGACACTTCCTCATTCATTATTCTCATGTTCGAGACAGATTCCTGGATCTTAGACCGAAAGAAGCTTGTCTTCGCAAACAGTAGCCCGTACATAAGCAAGTACACCTTCTGTGGTTGGGAGCATTTGAATCCAATAAAGCAAGGAAGTATTCCACCAATCGTTATCCAATCTGTTCGTCTAGACGACTGGATGACAATTAGGCAGTGCCGTCTGGGGCAAGAGGATAGCCTCTCAATTTCATCATTATATGTATAAAATGGCGATTGCATATTTCTCCAGGTCGGTTTATTTTAAAGAAAATTTTTTATTTGACTCTTCAAAAGGGTATTTAATTTAACCTATCTTTAGATAAACTAAATTAAAGGTTAAGGTAAAAAATATTAAATTAAAGGCTAAACATGTAACCGACGAAGGATAAATATGGATTGCAGTTGAAACACCCTTTAGGGGATAAAAGCTGAACCATTTTTGCGAAGAGAGCAGCATTATTTCTCACGATCGTTGCTTCCTGAAGCCGAGATGAAACCTCGCCTTAGAGACCGACTGATTCGAAAGTATCATTTCCAGCCTCCGACCTCGATGTCGGCCTTCATTAGCTCCTAACCACGTGATGCAGCCTGCTCTTTTCACCATAAACAATATGTTAAAATGGGTAACTCGGCAGAGAATAAGATAGACGTGGCCGCGACTCGATCCCATTTTGCCCCACCGGCACTGTCTATAATTGAGACCCGGACCAAAAAATGGGGCTGCATGATGAAAGGCTGCATTTATACCTCTCGCAATGAGAATATTTGGCTTCCTCTTTTTGTTTCGTCGATCAAAAACTCGAAACAAAACATAAAAAGCCCCTTATTTATTTATTTATTCAAAGAGTGTTTACAGGCAACATTGGCGTATGGCGCCGCCATGGTGAAAATCCCGTGATAAAAAGTCACGATATGGCAAATATTCGATATAAGTCCTATGTGGAATATGTTTTGGCCTAAATGTGGGTGACCCCGCTGTGCCTGGTGGCCCCATTGTACCGAGGACTCCATCGTGCCTGAGGACCCCATCGTGCCTGAGGACCGTGTGCCCCATGATCCCCTTTTCCCTCGCAGCGGGCTTCCCAGCCCAGCAGCTGCCGATCCAGGCGGCTCTCTGCCCCGCAAGTGCACATTGTAGACCTTGGGATCTCAACGAAGATGAAACATGCCTTGTTTCCTTCAATAAAAAAAAATTACTAATGGGTTCGTGCGAAGCCCGTGCAATCGTCTATGATTCGGTGCAACTGTTCCTTCGTAAGATGTATTGACTACGTGAAGCACTCGTCCGAAGGGATCTTCATGATTCTGTCGACTCAGTGTCACGGATGCATCGGTGATGCCCAACCCAGAGAGACATTTTTCGGCCCCTTCGATACCTTCAATTGAAAACAATTCAAATGTGCAATTTGATCGAGTTTTATACGAATGAGAACAGATCTGCCTCCTCGATCCAACCGAATTTAGAGGATATGGTCTGCGAAAAGCAGTGCCAAAAGTCTTATGAGAAACGGATACGGCAGTGTCTG